GGGGAGTGGTCATCTCGCATCATGTTTTCCGGGAGTTTACGAATAATGTCTATTGACTTGGGTTGCGGAGGTTGGGACTTTTAAAATTTGGGTCCCCAGAAAAAAAGTTTGGGAAACACTGCTGTACTATACTCTACTGCCAGTAATGCTGTGAATCTCCCCATTGTGGGACTAACATTGATAAGTTAAAGGTAGTAACCTTAGGTCTTTTTTGTGTAGGGTAACTTTAGCAATTGAGCAGATGAGCTACAACTTGAAGCTAAAGAATTTGCTACTTTTTGCCCTAATGCAACAAAAAGTCATCTTTTCAAGTTCCCCTCGGTGCTTGTTACTGTTAGGGGCCGTTATCGCTCAAATTCCACAGCCTGGATTCACAATACGGGCTTTGTGTAAATAATGTGCAGCTGAGCACTGCTATGAGGATGATGCTTTTCTCTAAGGCCACTGATTATACCAGTTCAACAGCGGTTTAGTCACAACATCAACAGGGTTTGATTCAGGGTTCCATGTAAAGTCAGTGTCATACATGAGGGAAAACAATCCCATATTACAAAATGATGTCATGATAATTAAATAACTCTTTTCAGGCCCTGTTCTAAGGAATTGTTTCTGTGTCTTTTCATAGAAATAATGATGAAAAAAAAAACCATGATCACAAATTAAACCTAACACGTTTGATAATGTCATTGATATTGTTTATTTCTTATTCCTGTCTGTGGTTGTCTGAGCTGTAAATACAGAAAATTACAGACTTCATGGTGACTGGAGATGTCTAACATTGTACATCATCATTGTACACTCTTCATCAGTGATGTGGGTTTTTTTTTTTTTTTTTCATTTTTAATTTGATGGTTGTTGATTTATGTCTTGTTTGTCCATCCATGGCGCAACACTGGTATGACAATTAGAAGCATATAAGCATATCAAATATATTTAGATAACAGGCATGGACTTCTGGATAATTTAATAAGCAGTTTTGTTTATACTATAATCCAAAAGTAATTACAAAGAATAATACATTGTAAAATCTTTATAATAATAATAATAATAATAATAATGCTTTTATACTTATAACTGCATTTTGTATCAAATAATATTGGTTTAAATATTTGTAAAAAATCAATTTATTTTTTATATTACTAACATTACCTAAAATTATAATCATAGTAATTATGATTATGATTATTGTTACTACTACGACTATTAGTAGTAGTAGTAGTTGTAGTATCTGTTAAAGTAGTAAATACAATACATGGTTTGACCAGTGTAAATTAACATTAACAGTGAACTAATTCTTTTTCTTCTCTCCACCTCTGCTTTCCTGCCTTGTCACAACTCTCCTATATTCGACTATAATCGAAGGTTGAGAAAGGGTTCCCGCCCTCTTATAGCGCCTCATCCCTTTCTAGAACCACGATACGTTTAAACGTCCAGTCTTAGCTTCGAGTATTTCGACAACACATCTTGACGAGGGTGAACGGAATTCTTCGTTACACCAGCAACAGGTTGTAGGGTGTGAAAAAGTAACATGCCCATATGTGGATACGGTTTTCTGCACGTCACAGCGGTTCCGCCACGGTTGCTGCGGCTTCAACTTGGACAAGTGTTCCTGCTTCACTTAGTCTCCTCGTACAAATGGCATAAAGGCGACCATGGAGAATTTGTGGAGACGCATCATCTTTGCCGTGGTACTAATTGGTGAGTACCGCGATTATTATGAACTTTGAAAACACCGGGGAACATGTCGTGGTCACTGGAACTGTTCTGTTTTAGTATCGGTCAGTGGAATGATGTGAAGCTCGGACAAACTAAAGATTATCCTTTGTTATGATGACTTTTTAATAATCTTCGATACATTATTTAAAAAAAAATCTGTTGACTTTGAATCAGTTTTTGTATATAATGTGTAGAAACACATGGTAGGCAGCAGGACTATAGCAGGACTATATATATATATATATATATATATATATATATATATATATATATATATATATATATATATATATATATATTTATTTATATGTTTATATATATAAACTTGGAACTTGGACTTTACGCAACTCCTTAGATAAAGTTTGTTTCTTAGTTATGTTTTGCATTGCATGCCTGAAGTAGTAAAATAATCACTAATGTCACTCACTCATTCCTGGAGGTGGCAGGGGGAACTACACTGAGGTTTTATTTTTATTATTTTTGCTCTATGTACTGTATTGACACGCCTGATTTTCTGAAAGTGTTCAACATGTGGTGAGGCTTAGAATGGCGCCACAAGTGCAAAGTGCTACTTTTATGTTGCAGGTAAACAGGCGCGGCAGACGTCCGTGCATGAAAAAAGACTGTGAAGTCCAGAACCCATCCACATTCCTGTGACTGATGGAGGGGAAGGCAGGCAGAAAACAGAGAGCTGCGAGCTCTGCCTGTTCAGGCTTGTGAGCCTGTTACTGCAGAAAAGGCTCACTGAAATACTGACAAATTCCATGTCCTGAGGGGCTTCGCAGCTGTACACTGCCAAACATGTTGGTTCCGTGTAGATCTTAATGCAATTTCAGCATTTCGCAGTGTCCTTCACGTCTGTTTTTTTATTCCCTGGTATATCTTGCCTCACTCACTGAGTCAAGCTGATGTGGTTTTTTTTTCACGTGAATCAGCCACCACAAGAACTACCTACTTGCATGAAAACAGGAACCAATAGTCAAAATAGCCATAAAATAGATTAATCAAGATATCCCTCTATAATATTTGTTGCTCTACTATGGTCAGAGACCAAATACTAGGACTGAAATGTAATTAATATGTTAACCCTTACTATGTTAATGTTCTTGAAGGTCCATTTAAAAAACACAATTTGAGTTTGGTGGAGTCTAGAGTCACTTGAAAAAGAAAGTTGAATGTCAGAGGTTTCTAGGACAGTAGTGAGACCTGCTATGATGTGTTGTGTTAGACCAGTGTTTCCCAAACTTTTTTCTGGGGACCAATGTTTAAAGTCATTAGACATTATTTGTAAACTCCCTGAAAACATGATGCGAGCTGACCCCAAAAAAAAAACTCTTGCGACCCACCTGAGGGCCACCACCCAGTCTTTGGGAAACAATGGTTTAGACACAGTGGCTCTGTCTAATGGAGTTGGAGGTGGCGGAGATGAAGATTTTTAGGGTGGAGCAGTTCGAAGTTAAAGTTGAGGTGAGGTGAGACAGAGGGAGCAGGGAGGAGGAAGGGTGGAGATATCTGACAAAGGATGGTGAAGATAGAACTGCCAGGCAAGAGGAAAAGAGGCAGACACCAAGACCAAATTTATGGACGTAGTAAAATTGGAGATTTGGAGATTGTTGGTGGTTCATTTTCGTCTGCAGTGTCTGACCTCATCTTCCTCTTTTTACAGCTGACACCGTCTGGCTGTCACAGTCCTTCAACGTCGGCACTGCAGGTGCAAAGATTTTCAGCGGTTCGGCAGCGGAGGAGTTCGGCTACACCGTCCTGCAGACAACAAACCATGAAGGCAAATGGTACGAATTAAGACACTAAGGTTGATGAGCGGGTGGAAATCTCTTGATTTTCCACTCTAAGTCATTCAGAACCTTATCTTTTGACTGACCATTTCCTCTTGTATGTGTGAAGTTTAAATGTGAGGTTCATGAGACCAGATGACTTCTGCTTCACTGACACCCACAGTAACCATTTCTTGCTTTAATTTTTTTTTCCTTTGAAAAGTCTATTTAGATGAGAGTTAATAGATAAGCTGCTGCTCTCTGATAAGTATTTTGTTTCTACAGCTTTCAACATCAAAAGATTTTTTTTTGTCATTTTACCTTCAAACAACACTCATCAAGAACTGCACCAACATGTTTCATGAATTTGGGCTACACAAATAAAATGGACTTTTACAACAGCAAAAATACATCATTCTAATTCCTATTCAGGGACGTAAAAGAGGACAGTTGATGTTGTGTTGTTAGGAACAAGCTTAAAAGCGGAGTGTGTCATGTGAAAATTGGCACAAACTTTGTACAAACACTATCTGACTGTCACAGATAAGTCAGTGCCTGTAGACAACGCAGGACGTTGGATACCTGCTTAGAATATGGGCTGACAGATTTGATCTATTAGTCAATAGTCTTAAAAAATAGAATTCTACATAGAGTCAATGCAAATAAAGATTCTGTGTGAACGCCTAAAGTACTTTTAAAGCGAAGAACTCGTTTAACTCTGAGCAGACAGGATGTATAATCACAGACAGGTCATGTTTTTAGCCTCAGTTATTTTAACAACATTAAGTTAAAGTCTAGCTAAACTCAGACAAATCCTGACGTCACACACCTTGAGTCACAGTCTTACTGAGTAACTGGAATTTACGAGTTCTGATTGTTGGTGTTTGCTCCTTTTTTAAAAAAATTAAACACAGTCTTTATTTCAGTAAATGATAACTCTTAAAAATCAGTGACCATTTTTAGTGACCTAAAGTAAAGTCCAACTCATCTGCTCTTTTAAACTTGCTGTTTGCACACACACACCCACACACAGTGACTAACTATGGCAGTCTATGAGGCTGATGAATGCGTTGTGTGTCTTTGATAGGCTCCTGGTGGGCGCTCCCTGGAGCGGTTACACCAGAAACAGACGAGGGGACGTTTACAAGTGTCCAGTCACTGGCTCCAGAAACAGCTGTGACAAACTCAGTCTTCAAGGTGAGTCTGAGTTGAACTTTGAACTCTCTGTGTGTTCATGCCTGTGAATCCAGATCCACACCAGTAGTTTATAAAAACAGTTGTTGAGTTGTTTTTATTTTTGTCAGTGATAATTAGAAGTCTTCTGTGCATTTCATAATGTCGGCACATTTGAGATGAAATTATTATCCACTCACCTGAAAATAATTGTTTTTGGTTTATATAATCCCAGGCTAGATTGTAAAATCAAGTTTCTACAATAGACATGTTTCATTTTTTTTTTTTTTTTTGTCAAATTGACTTTTGACCTTCGCATTGACAGATTCTGTCAGTATTCCAGAGGTTAATAATGTCAACGTCAACATGAGTCTGGGTCTGACCCTCAACCGTATGCCTGGAGTCAGTGATTTCATGGTAGGTTTGTGTGTCTGTGTTATGGGAAATTTACACACGAGTTCATATATATATATATATATAATCAACAGATTCTAATTTTTGTCCTTTTGGTTTTTTTTGTTTAGCTGTGTGGTCCTCTTTGGGGCCAACTGTGTGGCCAGCTAAACTACTACCCTGGAATATGTGCAAAAATGAACCCGCTCTTCAGGACACAACCCGCCTTCTCCCCTGCTGTCCAGAGTGAGATCTTTGAAATATTTGCTAATGTAACGTGTGAATACAGCTTTAGCTTACTTGAAAACTATGGTAAAACAAACCAAAATAATGATTAAAGTATTTATGATATAGTATTTATATAAGCATTTGATTATAAAATGTTACAAACCTCATTCTTTAGGGCAGTATTTCTCAAATAGTGGGACGGGCCCCCCTCGGTGTGTCACCGCGGTCAGGTGTTGGGCGGGGCGTGAGGGGCTTCCAATGGAATATGGCACGAGTGCTTGAATGATAACATGCCTCCAGACACTAGGTGGCAGCAACCCCTTCATTGGTTTGTACAGATAAAAATATACTTTATGTTATCAGGTTCTCAATAGAGAGTCAGAGTGAAAACATTTCTGTGCCCTGGGGGGGCATGACAGAAAATAATTGAGAACCACTGGTTTAGGGGGATTTTTACAGTTGAGCCAAGAGCTACTGTTTCCAATGCTTGAGTCAGTGTTAATTATTGTTTGTCTTCTGGCTTCAGTTAGAACTCACTGCTAAATTTAATATACAGCCAATTGAAAAATATAGATCTAGATTCTATACACAGAGGAACCTCGAGATACTACGTGTCTAGTAGTTCGAGATACGAGCAAGCATTCAAGCAAGTTTTTGCTTCGAGATACGAGTAAAGACTAGAGCTTACAGACACCGACTCATCTGGCGCGAGTCTTCCTTATTATGTTTGCGTTATCTACGTGATTTTCTGTCTATTTTGTGCATTATTCTTCATAATAGTGACGAGTCCTAAGTGGTAAGGATGGCGGTGAGAAGAAGAAACGCATAAATATGAGCATGGTCAAAAAAATTAAAAAATAGAAATGTGAAAAAAAATTTGTAAGCTAAGTTAATTCTAAGTTTATGTCAGTTACGTAGTGTACGTGTAAGGTACGCTACAGAATTAAGTGTCTACGTACGGGCAAACTCTCTTACCTCCTCCTCCTTCGCACTTGTCGCCATTAGCCGCTACTGTATTGGGGTTTGAACATAATTTTTCTTCCTCCTGTGATTCCTCTAGAATGTGGAGGTCCTATGGATATTGTGATTGTTCTGGATGGTTCTAACAGCATTTATCCTTGGGAACCAATGAACCTTTTTCTCCAGAAACTATTACCGAACCTTGACATTGGTCCTACCAGGACACAGGTGACACAAGTTCACACTTCCTTACTGTACCAACACCAACGCATATAACATAAGGGATAAAGTGGGGGATTTAATGTTGGGATTACTGGCCGTTTAACCACATTGATGTTCAACAGGTCAGCGTCCTTCAGTATGGAGTTGATACCAGGTTTGAGTTCAGGCTGAATGAATATAGGACCAAAGAAGAAGTGATTGCTGCTGCATCAAGAATCACACAAATGTACGGTCACTCAACCAACACCTTTCAGGCGATCCGATATGCCAGGTTTGTATCAGCGTCGATCACCGTGGAACCTTTTTTCGTGCAATATTGTCTTAGATGAAACAAAAAACTTGTCTTTTGTGTTTTAGCCAGTGGGCATTCAACCCAGTGAACGGTGCTCGACATAATGCAGCCAAAGTGATGGTAGTTGTCACTGATGGAGAGTCACACGATGCGACTTTCAGAGATGATGTCATAGCCGAGTGTGAGAAACTAGGCATCACACGTTTTGGCATTGCTGTAAGTCAACATTCTGCTTTATTGTGTATGGAGATTCTCAGTCATCCAGGTCATGGTCAAGTTTAAAAAGTTCTGTTAGACAACTGGATGTGAATTTTCTAAAAGAAGACGTTTCACCTCTAATCCAAGAGGCTTCTTCAGTTCTAACTGGTGGTGGGCAGTACAGCAGATAAATACTCTAGGGGAGAAAGAATAAAGCTACTTCAGCCCCCCCCTGTTGGGTGGAGCCTTGGGATCAACTGTGAAAGTGTAAACAGTCGTTAAGAGTCTGATGGGTCGTTGTGGTCCCCATCAGAACGGTTTTGGTCACCTGCCTTTTTGTTATGTGTTATGTGTCTATAGTCTGCTTTATTACAAAAAAATTGAATATTGTTAAATATCATTTATGAAATATCATTCAGATTTATTATGGTAGAATATATGTTTTACTGTCATGAATGACAATAATGTACAGGTATTTCAATATATTATGTATTTCATATCTAACCAAAGTATGTGTGTAGTATGATTATTGATTTTAGCCCTGTTTCCAAATTTTCCTATGTGTCACATGATCCCTACTCACATGTTTTTTGTACTAATTTTCTTTCTAGGTTCTGGGTTACTATATAAGAAACAATATTGATACTGACAACCTCATCCAAGAAATCAAATCCATTGCAAGTTCTCCGACAGAGAGGTTCTTCTTTAATGTTTCTGAGGAGGCAGCTCTGTCCAACATCGCTGGAACGCTAGGAGATCGTATCTTCAACATAGAAGGTGCCGGTTGTTTTCTTCCTTCCATCTTGTCTTGCAAGTTTTTTAGTTTGTTTTATGTACTTATGTATGTTCTTGTTTTGATATTCACACCCAAAGGGACTGGAAAAGGCGGTGACAATTTCAAAATGGAGATGTCTCAGGTCGGATTTAGTGCACACTACTCCAGCCAGCAGGTAAGGGGATCCTTCTTTTTACTTTTGAAATTATAAAACTCATATGTGCACACGTTTTAAAGGATTTACCAAATAAGTTATAGAGGAATACAAAGAAAGTTAACATGAAACTACTCAGGAGTGGCAGAAAAGTACATGAAGGTGGTGCAACTATGAAAAACATATGTTGATAAACAGTCTGACAGACTGTTTTTGTAGATTTTACTAGAATAATTGTGTTGTTTCAGGATGTGATGATACTGGGAGCAGTGGGAGCCTATGCCTGGAGTGGGACTGTGGTCCATCAGAAAGGGTCGCAGTCTGACATACTTCCTTTCTCAGCGTTTGAAGGAACACTTCAGGACAAAAACGACAGCTCATTACTAGGTCTGCCTTTACATTCTTGTTATGTTATTTTAAATATTTCCATGTAAATATCAAATAAAGCTTTGATAATAAAGCTAAAATGTTAGCCTTGTAGTGCTGAAAAGCTAGTTAAAATGTTGTAATCATTGTTTCTTCAATTGTACTTCAACTGTCATTTAGCTTTGTAGAAAAAAAAAATGTTGTTGAGTTCAGATGACAATGTGTCTTTCAACTTGTTGGCACCTCCAGGTTACTCCGTCACAACTCTGACTGATGGCTCTATGGTTTACTTTGTGGCTGGTGCACCACGTTCCCACCACTCTGGACAAGTTATCGTCTACACCCTCGACGCTCAGAAGAAAACTGCCGTGATAGATTCTGAAAGGGGGAAGCAGGTGAGACATTAGTATTAAAGATAAACCAATAAACAATGTTGTATAAATGCTATCTGTAACCAAATAATCACATTCAATTATCAGCAATAAACATTTGGCAAATGTACTGTGCTGTAGATTGGCTCATATTTTGGTAGCATCCTGTGCTCCATGGACGTAGACAACGATAGGGTCACGGACCTTCTTCTAGTCGGTGCACCGATGTTCATGAGCGAGCAGAAGAGAGAAGAAGGCAGGGTCTATGTCTTCTCTGTCACTAAGGTATAAATGTGAAAGTTTAAGGGGAAAATGAAGGGGCCCAGATGTCAGATGATGTGTAGAAGTACAGTAGAACCTCGAAATATGAGCATAATTTGTTCCAGGCCCGAGCTCGTAACTCGAGGTGCTCGTACCTCGAATCATTTTTCCCCATATGAAATAACAGAAAAAAAATCAATCCGTTCCAGCCCTCTAAAAAAACTCCCTTATTAGTGCTAATAACAATGAACGAAAACATGTTTTTAATTGCTAAAGACACACACACACAGTAAGCTCATATTTATCAACAATTTCCTGCTTTATTTCCATGGTCATCATGTGTTTCTTCTTCTCACCACCATCCTTACCACTCACTCTCTTAGGACTCATCACTATGATGAAGAATAATGCACAAAATCGAAAAGAGAAAATCACGTAGATAATGCAAACACAATATGGAAGACTCATGAGAGTGAACACGTGAAGTGAACGAGTGAAGCGGTGTGGGCTGCTCCGAGTGCTCGGCCACCTAGCATCGGCGTCTGTAAGCGTGCCCGTATCTCAAATCTATACTGGTATCTCGAAACAAAATTTTGCTCGAAGGCTCGGTCTTATTTCAAAATACTTGTATGTTGAGATGCTCGTACCTCAAGGTTCTACTGTATATTAAATACAGATGTTGTTTAATCCCCTATGTTTACGACATGTAATTCTTCAAACCTAGCTTTGTCGTATAATTTCAAGGGAATACTAAATGAGCAGGGTCTCCTCATTGGTCCACCTGCTACTGAAGATGCACGTTTCGGGATGGCTATCTCTGCTGTTCCCGACCTGGATCGTGATGGCTACAGTGACGTCGTGGTTGGTGCACCACTGGAGGACAAACAGAGAGGTGTCATTTACATCTACAATGGAGAGAAGAAGACTTTAAACAAACAGTACTCACAGGTAAGGGCAGGAACTGTTGGTAAACTCTGACACATGTTCAAAGTCAGGTGAATTCTTTCAAATCAATTTTTTGTGTTTAGAGAATCCTTGGCTCTAAACTGGATCCTCAGCTGCAGTATTTCGGAAGGTCTCTTGACGGCTACGCAGATCTGAACGATGATACAATTCCGGATGTTTCTGTCGGTGCCTATGGCAAAGTGGTGCAGCTCTGGTGAGAAAAGTCCGGACGGATATGTCCAGAAACCTGCACATTGACAGTTTGATTGCCTTAAATGTTATTGATAATCCATAACAAACTGTGTTAAAACATTTTGGAAAACTCTAAGTAACTAAGTTGTGGATAAAACCTGGGGGTTTACACTCTACAGGTTAACACTCTCACCTTTTAATACAAAGGGCAACTGTGTAAATCTCAAACCTCTGTTCAGCTTTGTCCTTTTGGACATTGCCCTGTGGACTGAGGTAAGAGTCCAGACACTAAGGGAATCTCCCAGAATTCTTAAGCAGTATCCTACAGAGGTGGGTGTGGACGGGGAAAGGTGTGTTTTGGTGTTGTTTCTAAGTGAATGTTACTGCCGTGACTTGGACCTTGATACGATGAGGAAGTTGAGCAAGAGATAAACTGTAGAAATCCACAACTAATCCAAAAAACAAATAAATCTCTTTACTCTTTGTCATTGACCTATTGGAATCAAGCACACAATAGTGCAAAATCTCAGTTTAGTTACAGCCTGTAATAACATCTTAAAAACTTTGTGACAGTGAACTGTAGCGAGCTACACTGAGAGTGAAGAAAATACAGTAAAATGAGCAGTGAAACAAAAATGGTAGAACATCAAAACCTCGTGATCGACCTGTCTATGTCTTGAACTTTTGAAAGTGATGGTAAAGTGATGGTAGATTTTACTAAATGAACAACATGAAACAAGGCACACAGCAGCAGAAGAGCTGGTTTTTCATTGGACAAGAATTAACTATAACTCTGTTATGACTGTGTTTATAAATAAAAAACAAAAGCAATTTCACTGAGAGAAAGAGAGAAATTTTCTCATTTAGTGGCAAAAATGAACAATCTCTACCATTTTCACATGTTTTCCATTATTGTAGATCTGTAGCCTTGGAGTGCTGCGGTGAAAAGTAACCATAATGATGTAATTTTATTGATTCTTTGTTAAAGCCAGTGATCTTTTTACCATTCTGTTCTCCAGGTCCAGAGGTGTGGCAGTTGTCACGACTAAAGCTAATTTTAACCCGAGTAAAATCAACATTTTCAACAAAGCCTGCAACATCAACGGACGCAAGCTTACCTGCTTTGTCACCAGCCTCTGTTTCACTGCTGCATTCAGACCTAAGAAACCTGTTGGACCCATTGGTATGTCAATCAATCAATCAATCAATCATTATCTGTCTGTTGTTGTTGACACTGTATAGTAGTTATGCTAAGCTAGGTTAAGCTAAGCTAACAGCCTGGTTTCTTTTTATCTGATCAAACTTCAAAATAAAAAAAAGTTTTAATAGAACTCTCTCATCTCAGGCCAAATTGTTTATCATTTTCGTTCTCGTTAAGATATTTCGTACACTTTGACTCTGGACGCTGACTTGGAAGCTTCCCGGGTGACATCTAGGGGAATGTTTACCAAGAACAACGAACGCTTTCTCACAGAAACAGCCAAAATATCTGCCACTCCTCTGTGTCAAGACTACCAGGTTTATGTTCAGGTGACAGACTTATTACATCTAAACAGCACCAACAACAACAACAAAAACTCTCGAATTTACTTTTATGACTTTTGACTTTTTTTTCTATGACTTTTTTGACAGGAGACACCAGACTTTGTAAATTCCCTGAGTCTGAAAGTGGAAATCGAGCAGAAGAATAAAGATGCTAATCCGGTCCTTGACATGTTTTCTTCCACTGCCTCTCAGTTTTTTGTAAGTGACACATAAACAAACACGATTCTGCTGGGGTTTTTTTAATGATATTTTGTCTAAAAATTATTATTATTTTGAAGAACCTACAAAAACTTGTCTATTGACAGGAGGCCTACTGTAAGTGTACTTGTTTTCTGCAGTGTTATTGGCACAGTCACTTTAAATTACATGTTGTGTGTGTGTGATAATTAGTACCTAAAGCACAACTTTTCAGTAGGTCACGCATGTTTTACAGTCACACGACAGATACTTAGTCGTGGAAATATCCAGTGTGTTCGTGCTGAAGGATGATGGTACCGATGTTTTAGTACTATTGTTGTTTCAGATCCCCTTTACTAAAGACTGTGGGTCGGATGAAGTGTGTAACAGTGACCTGGTGCTGAGAGTGACGACCGTTTCTAAGGCAACCAGGTCAGCATGTCACGTCCTTTTTAACATGTAGTACATACACACTATGAAATATGTGCAGTACTCGGATACTTTTTGCTCACATCATGATAGACTTGACTTAATGGCAGTATCAAATTTCTGTTGTGCAACTGAAGCAGATGTTCAGAGGAAAAGTGCAACAAAACAAGTCCAAACAAGATGATGTCTTTGCCATGAGTCATTTAAAAAAAAAAAGAAGAGGAGGATAGTTGTATTTAAGGCTCTATTTCCTCTGCTGTTGTGGTTGCCTGGTGATTTCTACAAACCTTTTCCTGTTTCCTGTTTGTAATGACTTTACATTTTTCTCTGTTTTGTCTTTACTTTGTAGATTGTAGTTTCCTTCTACAACAGTATGAATACAGTTGACTGTAATGTCAGGTTTTTTTCCGTTTCAGCTCGACTCCTGTTCTGGTCAGCGCTAATGACAGGGAGCTGTCATTCCAAGTTGTTGTGAAAAATAACAAGGAGAATGCCTACAACACTCAAATGGTGGCGACATTCTCCAGTAACCTCTACTACTCCTCCATCTTCCCTCCTGTGAGTTTTTGGGGAACACTCTTTAACAACCTCTTAAAAATAATGATCAATTATATCACAAATGTAAGAATGTATGTGAAAATAAAAACATTCCGATTTTTATCTTGTAAACTTTATGAAAAATGTTCAGACCGACAGAGTCAAATGCACGTCGACACAAATACAGACAGTTGTTTGCCTGGTCGGATACCCAGCATTGAAAACTAAGGAAGAGGTGAGTTCTAAAAAAAAAAAACCCAAAAAGATCACTACAGAATTTTAGTCTCAGTACTTAAAAACCACACATACATTTTTTTTAAATTTGCAGGAAAAATTCCAGATCAATTTTGAATACAGTCTTGATCAACTTCAAAACCGAGCTGAGTTGAAATTCGAAGCCAAGAGGTGCGCTCAAAATGAAATCAATCAATCAATCATATGACATAAAAAAAGTTATAGTATTTTGTTTCTGAAATGTTTATTTACCCTTTCACAGTGACGGTAAAGAAGAAAGACCAGAAGACAACCTGGTTGATATATCAATTCCTGTGAAATACGATGCTGGGATTGTTTTATCTTGGTGAGTTTTTATTATTATAAATTTTTATTTTCTTAAATCTTTAAAATCCTAAAAATAAAAATTGGTATTTAATTATTATTTTCCTTCATGTCAATTATCACAGGCACTCGAATATTAATTTCTACGTGGCAAATTCAACCAATGAGGTGGTAACGACAGTGCAGTCCTTGGACGACATCGGCCCAGAGTTTAACTTCACAGTGAAGGTAAAGGAAGTGGATCTTTTAGAACTCCAAGTAATGAACTCTGGTCCAAATGATTAAATAATTACTTTGGTCTAAGGTGTCCACAGGTTTCTTCCTGGTCAATCTCTTGTATCTGACCATTGCTATTCCAATAAGTACCAAAGGTGGAAATCAGCTCCTCTATCTGACCAGTGTGGACACACAGGCCGTGAGTAATAACACGCAAGTATAGTGTTTCTTACGTCCGGTTGTAAATGGAAGATTGTATAGATCAGGGGTCTCCAACTCCGGTCTGCGGACCAGTACCAGCCCATAGGTCACTTGGTACCAGGGCCACAGTGGGACACAGTGAAAAACTGTACTTAATTTTTACTAATTTACCTCATTCAAAGAAAATCCAGTCATATCCATTTACTTTCTTTATTTAAAGATATTCTGGCAATATTTTAAAATAACAGGTCATTCAGACTCTGATACAAACAGAATAGAGTCTAAAAGAAGCTCCCGCGGGCTACAAAAAAAAATGGATTGGTGGGCCGCATTTGGCCCCCGGGCCTTGAGTTTGACACGTATGGATTAGACCATAGATTCAAGTGTGAAGGCATTTATCATATATATATATAAGTTGGATTTTCTAAACCTTCAGGGCGATCCCATCAGCTGTGATTCCAGCAGCCTGGTTGATCCTCTGAAGATCCGACTGAGAAGCCACAAAGTATCTTTCACTGAGGAGAACCTCAGAAAAACAGACAAACTGGTGAGTCATTCAAATCTGCCGGCCTGATGTCACCTCTCGTTTTTTTTGGGAAAAAAAAAAATGCAAAATGGTATATGTAATGGCAGATGTAACCTGGGTTGTTTCGTTGAACGCCACACTGATACGCTCCCAGGAATTAAAGAAAGACACACAAGATCTTCAATAGCAAATACTCACTTTTTTCAGTTTTATGACTCTCTGCTACCACACAGTGGAAGATCATTTAATTGTTCTACCTGTAACTGTCTCACAGGCAAATTATTTTCAGTAAATAAATAGTATATTTCAGACCTATTAAGAGAAATGTGTTTTGGTAAAGTTATTCAAATGGTTTCAATAATGTAACGAATAATAAATGATTGCTCATTGTTTTGTTCTTTTTGTTTTACTGACAGGATTGCAAGACGGCAAAATGTGTGTATGTAAAATGCCTCATGAAGGATTTTAAAGATAAGAGTGACTACTTTGTTACGGTGAAAACACGGATCTGGAGCGGCACCTTTATTTCAGTAAGATATATATATATATATATATATATATATATATATATATATATATATTATGCTACTGATTTACTGGTACTGATACACTTATTTTTGTATTCCTGTAACAGACCAGCTATCAGAGCCTGGAGCTGACCTCGAATGTTAAGATTGAAACTTCTAATCCTGATCTTGTTGTTATCGGCCTCAAAGAGCTTCCTGTAAGAAAACAACAGCATTTACTGTGTATTATTGTTGTTGAATGAGTCAAGGACTGACAGTGTTCAGTGTTCAGCAGTTCAAGCTGCCAGAGCAGCTTTTAAAATGTAAATTGATTAAATTGTTTTTTTTTTTCATTTTTCTCTGCTCTTTGTCCAGGTGGAGCTGACCGTCAGTAAACCAGGAGCCAAAGGTGAGGTTCCAGTCGGAGTGATCGTGGGCAGCGTCATTGGTGGACTAGTGCTGTTAGCTGTGGCTGTGGCTCTTCTGTGGAAGGTAATACTTGGCTTCACCTCAGTGGACACTTTTAAAATATTTTATATCTTACTACCAGTCATTTACTACAAGTTATATAACACTCAAACTCCCGGCCCACGAATTTTCCACATCCACCCCACGCAATAAGAACAATAATAATGTAGTTCTTCACCGAGCAGGGAAACATGACAACGAGTTTTATTTTAATTGAGAGCTGATAAAATACCTGGACCCCAAGTTACTTGGGTGTTAAGTAAATGTTAGCACAGTATAAAATAGAATGAGGCTAAATATCTAAATATTGCTGTTGTGAGTTTTTGTTCTAATCTTAAGAAAAAGTAAACAGGTTTTGTACCAAGCACTGACCAGCCAGAGCTAATGTGAACATGAAGCCATGTCTGCAGTTTATTTTTAAAAAAGTGGAAGTGACAAATAATTTCCTCAGCTCATTAAAAAAACATAACATATTTAGGCCCGAGTCAGAATTTGGACATGAGTGCTTCGCTTGTTCTATGCAAATCATTTACAGTTATATTATATTATATATAGTCACAAATATATGATAAAATATAATTTTATTTATAATAAAAAAAATATTTTTAAAAGGCGAAATCTTAACGATCTTATGAAATGGCTCTTTGAGGTTGCCTTTGTGATTTTTATGATTTTCTTTCTTTCTATTTTTTCTTTTTCTTTTTTTTTTTTTGACTTTTCAGTTTGGGTTTTTCAAAAGAAAGTACCAGCAGCTTCAGAGGGAGGCTGAAGGAGAGAGGCAGAGCAATGCACATGTTGATGAGGTGCTGTGACCTGCTGAGAAAAGGTCCTGCTCTGACTCTGACCAAGGACTTCTACTGTCTTTGCTTCTGTAAACCGTACATTGACTGTTTGTTTCGCAGTTGTGCACTGATGCTGAATGAATACAAAACTGTATTTTTCTAACTTGACGGAGACTTTATGTAAGTAAATAATGACTTTTGTGACCTACGTTTGCTACAAAACATAGAATCTTTTTTTTTTTTTTACAACATGGGAGGTTAAAAATTTTCATTAATAACTATGATTATTTTTTCCATAAAGCACTGTGAATACTGCTTTAGCAAAAACCACTGCCATGAGACCTGCTGTCAACTCTGGTGCTCAGGAAATGATGTCATTAGTAACTACTGATGAACCAATAGTTTTCCAGATACGATAAGATACGATAGTGTAGAATATATTAAGATTCAAACAGATGTTTTACCATGCCTTTTCTTTGTGTTTGCACTGCATATGTTGTAAAATAGATTTAAGACATTTCTTATCTCATTTGTGTCCGTGGTTCACGACAAACTGTTTCTGTTCTTGTGGTAAGGTTATGTTGGTGGTTAACTTGTTTCCCTGTTTTAAAACTGCACATGTGCAGCTTTGCAATTTTAAACGAATAAATATTATTTTCCTTTTTTTAGATATAGTACTGATGTTTAATTTGCGGAAAATCTACAAAAGTGAAAGCTCCATATTTCCTGCTGCTTCCTTGTTGGTTTCATTTCCTTTTTTTAATGGTTTGAATCGACAGTCGGCGTCTTTATATTTGTAACACCACCTCAAAACGGTTCATTTAAAAAAAAAAAGATTTAAATGTTACAGTACATCAAACCCAACATGTTTTTCTAATATTTATGCCAATGTGTATTTCTACTGTGTTACCACAAGATGGCAGCATGACACAGGTGTGACTTTGGGAGTGTTTACGCTTGTTGATGAGTTGACCACTTACACATAACTCCGTTCATGTAACGACCCATTTGATTCTCTTCTCCTCTCTGACCTTAGTTGAAAAAAAAAAAAACTCACGCTGAAAACTGCTTCCCAAGCATCAGTGATTTTTAATTATTCCCTGAACAGCAATTAATTCCTTCTCACATTTTTCGACTGTTGCATTTCCCACAGTTAGCGGACTCCGTCCCCTGACTGTTCGGGAATGAGTTCCTGAATAGTTTGCCTCCTTAAAAAAAAAGCCAACTCCTGACCCAAGCAAAATCTTTACTCTTCACTTCTTTGGATGCGTCCAGGCGGAATATGCTATTTGTCTCTAATAAGTAGCACATTTATTGGTTGCCTGGGCTCGGGGCCTGCCTGTTGGAGGGAATATATAGATCTTGATAAATGATTGGACTGGTCTGTTCCACAATTACTCATGCACTGCAAGGGTTGTGAAATAGCCCTTGGATGTGTGCACGGGGAGCAATGTGGAAATAGTTGATGAAATGAGATACAGTGGAAATGGCTGAACACCTTTGTAATTCCATCCCCCTCTGTGGGCTCCTGCAGATGATTGGCAGCTAAAGCGAATCCCACTGACCCGTGTCACTGCAGAATGATTGCTCACAAATTGCACCGCTGTTGTTGTGGATGTGAAATGATGTCATAAATTATTGAAAAAACAGTTGGACCTTTGCAACTTATAGTTTCTAAAGCTCGACTCCAATTCTCTCTGGTTAACTCTTAAGACTGGGAGACTCGGAGTTTGTGCTAATTATCAACCGTCATTAAACAGGGGCGACACGTGCTATGCTTTTATAGTGGAGCAGCAATAGTCAGATAAAATATTGCAAGATACAGTGGAACCTTGAGATACGAGCGTAGTCCGTTACAGGACCGAGCTCGTAACTCAAGGTGTTTGTATCTCGAATCCCGTACGTAAACACTTGATTCAGTAGCACAGTGGGGTTTTTTTTTTTTTTTTTTTCTGGGGACCCATATTTTAAAAGTCACAAACCTTCGTGAACCAAGTCAATAGACATTATTCGTAAACTCCTGGGAAACATGGTGTGAGACGACCCCCCAAAAAAAAACAACCTTGTGACCCACCTGAGGGTTGCGACCAAAATAGTAAATGTTTCCCACTTGGACATAAATGTGTTTTCCTTTTTCATTTCCAAGATGGATTTAATCTCAAGTGGTCCAGATTTATACCACACATAGGTGTGCAGACCATGTGGGCCAGAAGGTTCATATGTACCAGATATTAGTTGTGGGTTCTTTGGTTTTGTTGTATACAAACTATTAGCTTGGTGCAAAAGTATATACAGTTTTTTTTATGTGTGTATTATAATAGTTTGTTGATGAAGTTAATAGTACAAGTAAAATATAGAAGTAAAATGACTAGATGTCAGGTTGGGATAAAGACTCAACATTTGTACGTAGTTAAATGTTCTCCTTGAGAACACTCAGCTCTATATGAACTGACTTTTAACTGTTGTTTTATCAAGTTCCACACATTACAGTAAATGTGACCAGATGTGCTTGGGTCAAATATATAAATGATATATATGATATATTTTACTTGGACCTCGGCAAACGTTTACTTCATGAAGCAGACGTACGTTCCTCCTGAGTGAATTCTTTAACGTTGACATTTCAAGCGTGCTCACTTCAGACACTGAGTTTCTTTCACTAAATCACTCAGCGTCTGCTGTCCGACTTGTCTTTGGAGTCTTTGGAGTTTCCAAATCAGTTCCTGACACAACAGTACTTTATTTTGCAGTACTGTATAAACTTTAAAGACCTGGACGCCGTCCTGCAGAGCCACTTACAGCCATTAGCAGAGGGACAGCACGTACTGCCTGTCCCAGACTGAACTGGATTTGATTCAGTCCCTTTCAGCCAAAGATCAGTATTATTTATTTTTTACAGCTGTCAGTCACATTTTTACTGGTTCTTTTGTGACAGTGATCCATCCGCAACAGTTTTGCACGAAACCACAAATATCTCACAATATTTTATGTGAGTATTGCTGCTCCATTATGAAACTAGAGCATGTGGTTAACGACGGTTGATAATTAGCACAACCTTCGAAGCCATGCAATGTCCATTCCTAAAGGTTAACCAGAGAGAATTGGAGTCGAGCTTTAGGAACTACAGTGGAACCTCGAGATACGAGCGTCTCGAGATACGAGTAAAGATTTGAGCTGATGGTGGCCCAACACTTGGAGCAGCCCACGTCGCTTCACTTGTTCACTTCACGTGTTCGTCGAAATACGTAAGTTATGTTAATTCTAAGTTTATGTAAGTTACGTAGTGTACGTGTAAAGGTACGCTACGGCATTGTTTCCCAGAGACCGGGTTGCGACCCTCAGGTGGGTCGCAAGAGTTTTTTTTGGGGTTTTTTTGGGTCGTCTCACATCATGTTTCCGAGGAGTTTACGAACAATGTCTATTGACTTGGGTTGTGAAGGTTTGTGATTTTTAAAATATTGGTCCCCAGAAAACAAGTTTGGGAAACACTGGTGTAGGGTCACATATATTTGGCCTGGGCCGCATGTGCTAATAATTTGCCGACATCTGCATTCTGTCTGGAAACATCTGGTTTTGACCGTTCCAAGAGTGACTTTTTCAGGACTTTTTGTAACTTTTTCAGGACTTTTTGTTTTATCCATTAATCTTTTTTTTTTAGGTTTTTTTGCATAGCAGTTTCATCTCCAACACTCTTTGCCTATTATACCTACCGTCTGTTTTCAGCACCAGCTCAGTCTTTTTGAAATCAGAATTAATTCCTAGTCATTCTACATTCCGCTGACATTCCACCCAAAGAGATTTTTATTATATTGATGCTTGAACTTGACCGTCTACCTCTCCAAACACAGGCAACATCTCCATAGACACTGAATAACTTCTGTGTCTTTTTTACCAAATCACACAATTCCACTGTGTGTCATCTTTTTCCAGACTGTCCAGCACGGACCTGTGGACAGTCTGGTTCAGAGATGTTTCCTTTAGACTGTAAGCTCAGTGTCAGACCTTTTAGCGACTGCCATGTTTACACTTCTCTGTGTCCAGACTGTCTAAGTACTTTATTAATATTATTATTTCCGTCTTGTTGTTCTCTTGCTTGTGTAAGAGGCACTTCAGAAAGAATACCATTCTAAAAAAATCCTTCCCTTGAAATAAAAAATGTATAAAAAAAGATGGGCCATAACATTAATACAAATATGTAATAATAGCAGATATTGAACTCTCCTGCCCCCCGACCAAAAAATTTTTTTTTTTTTTTTTTTTTTTTTTTTTTTGCTCTTCGGTCTGGAGAGAAAGCTGTACCCTGAGTTCCGCTCAAGAGGTCGCGCGAGGACTTCAGATGGAGCTCAGCCTGTACGTCAGTGTGCGTGCGCGTGCGCGCGCGCGCGTGTTTCATTGAGTGAAACGCAACACTCACCCCCCCCTCCCCTCCTCCTCACCCCCCCCCCTTGTCTGTCTGAAGCCTCTTCGGAAACAGGTTTGATTATATTTAAAAGCTTGACCCGGGAGAGAAAATCCAAACAACTGTCTGTTCTAATATTAGCAGTGCGGCTGCGGACTACTATGAATTCTATTATTGTCTGGACTGGGGCGAGTTCCAAAAGGCCACTCTCATTTTGACGTGTTCACAGTTGGTGGGGAGAAAAAAAAAGAAAAAGTACATCTCTTCAATTTTTAATGATATAATCAGGGTGAGCGGATTTGATAATTATGTTTCTATAGTGAAAGTTTTGGTCAAAATAAAAATAAAATAAATATTATTATTATCATTTATTATTAATGTAAAAATAGTATTAATATTATTGTAAATGTATTATTATCATTTTTATGAATATTATTATTATTGGTGATTGAAGAATTATTATTATTAATAATGACCTCAGTCGTCCGTAATACCGCGCTCTGTGTCAAAATTAAAGTATTAGAAAACTTTGTCTTAAACTTATTAATAGTTAACGCCGTGGCAAACATCTCTCACTAAAACTGGGTCCACGCGGACCGGTTTGCTCCACGCTGTCTGCTGCGCTCCCTCCGGATCCTTCTGTGAAATCCGTTTTTTTTTTTTTATGACGAATCAGAAACTGTTTCCATGTTCTTCACTTGTTGTGGCAGGAGAAAGTAACGATGTCACCTGATTGGGACTGAAAGAACTTTGGTAAGAGAAAAAAAAAAAATCTCCCCACCCCCACAGAAGAGGAGACCGCCCACCACAGACAGTCAACCCGAGACCCCTTATAGATTTAAAAAGAGAGGCTGCATTCTCAGACTGACACTTATTCAACACTGCCACCTTAAGCAGATTACTTTTTTTTTGCGCTGCCCGTGTGTCAGATACGCGGTTGACTTTGCCTCCCCATCATGTTCAGGATGCTGAGACACCAACTCCACCCGGGCGTTTTTCTCTTCTTCGTGTGGTTTTGTCACCTCATCGGACATCAAAAAGTTCAAGGTAAGATCCCTTTCATCCCTGATCCTTTCGTTTCCAGCCTCTCTGAAGAACTTCCAGAGCTGTCAGCGGCAGGAGAGCTACCGACAAACTTTTTTTTTCCTCACAGAGTCCATTCCCCCCCCCCCCTCCCACCCCAAGCCTCTGATCAAACGTGAAGTGTCCATAAAACAGGTGCTATGGTGGGACACTTTACAGCCAGGCTGGGTGGGCAAGTTTTTTTTTTTCGGTAGTGGCAGCCTTTTAATTTTTTTAAACTAATATCTGAACACATTCTCTTGTCTCAAGTGTGAGGATTTACTGGCTCACTCTTCCAACTCCAGCTCGTCCACCGTGACTTTAATAGTGGTTTAGTTGTGATTTTTAGACCAGAGCCCGAACTGACGACACTTGTGTTTCCACCAGTCTGAAAATCTAATGGAAATGTGTGCTCAGTGTATTAATGTGGGACTTAACGGGTGTCTCTGATCCAGACACTGCTGCTGCTGTCTGGTTCAGGGGGGATGTGGTTGTGCCTTAGATTCACAAGAATTATTTTTTCTATATATATATATATATATATATATATATATAATTTTTAACGACATGGATTTGAAATGACCTCGAAAGTGTTGTTTAATAGAGAGGATTTTAGCCTGTTGGGTGAATGTCTGGGTTTTTTTTTTATGCTCAGGGGCGTTGGAGACAGAGGTGTTCCAGTCTGCTCCCCTAAGACTGGCTTCTCTGATGGAGATTGGCTGCTGTCTGCACGCCGCACTTTCTGTTCAGCTGTAACCAGGAGAGTGTGTGTGTGTGTGTGTGTGTGTTAGGGAGGAAAAAAAACACAGCATCTTCTTTTATTATTATTTTATTTTTATCGGTTTATGGCTGCGTGGTTAACATTCACAGACTGGAGAGTGTTAACTGTCTCGCGGGAAAAAAAAATCAGACAAAATACAACGGGGTGTGCGAAAGGGGAGGGAGAGGGGAGCGTCTCGGAAGATTATGCTGCGTGAGTGTCTGGTGCGTCTGGGTCAGTGGCTCCAGGCGTTCGTCGTGCAGCATTCGATTTTCTTGTTATTTCTCCCCTTGCAGCTGGGAACTGCTGGCTGCAGCAGGGGAAGAACGGGCGGTGCCAGGTGCTCTACATGCCCGGAATGAGCAGGGACGAGTGCTGTCGAAGCGGACGACTGGGGACGTCCTGGACCGAAGAGGACGTCCCTAACAGCACTCTATTTAGGTGGATGATCTTCAATGGCGGAGCCCCCAATTGCATACCTTGCAAAGGTGGAGGTGCACTCATTTCCCTTCGTTTTTCCCCATACATAATAAATATCACTCAATCGGTTCAATAAACCCGATGAGTTTTACGCACAAAAAAGCTGAACGCGTAAAGCGCATTTTACGCACGGGCACCGTGTAACTGGGAGGTTGTTTTTTTTTTATTATTATTTCTTTAGAAACGTGCGATAATGTTGACTGTGGACCCGGGAAGAGGTGCAAGATGAACAGACGGAGTAAGCCGCGCTGTGTGTGCGCACCAGACTGTTCCAACATCACCTGGAAAGGACCGGTCTGCGGCTCAGACGGGAAGACCTACAAGGACGAATGCGCATTGCTGAAGGCTAAATGTAAAGGTCAGCCCGACATCGACGTGCAGTACCAAGGAAAATGCAAGAGTAAGTAACCCTAATTTAAAAATATGCATGTTAAAACTTTGTCTTTACACGCCATTCGGTTCGATTTTAACACGGTTTTTTTTTTTTCGGGACAGAAACGTGCCGTGACGTCCTGTGCCCGGGCAGCTCCACATGCGTGGTAGACCAGACTAACAACGCATACTGTGTGACGTGTAATCGGATTTGCCCCGAGGTGACGTCACCTGAGCAGTACCTGTGTGGCAACGACGGGGTCACCTACGGCAGCGCCTGCCACCTGAGGAGAGCGACGTGTCTCCTGGGCAGATCTATCGGAGTGGCCTATGAGGGGAAATGCATCAGTAAGTCTGCGTCTACGCCGAGTGCGAGTGAGACTGTGGTGCCTCCCAGCTTCTCTCTCTCTCTCTCTCTCTCTCTCTCTCTCTCTCTCTCTCTCTCTCTCATTTAAGTGCACCTTTCTTCCTGGACAGATCTGTTCATTTTGCCAACATTCCACCGAGAAGGGGGGTCTTAGAGCGAAGAAAAAGTAGTTTGCTAGTTGCTTGTGTTTGCTCAAGAAATGATAGACATCTTATTATTTCCTGATGTTGGCAGCACTATCCCATATGGGAGAGTGGAAAGGAGGGGGCGGGGGCGGA